CTAAGGGCAAACACTTAGAGATCAAAGGGTTTCCCTTACAACATCCTTAGGAAATCCTTATGGTGATTTTATTCAACACATTTCTTTGCCTAAGGCAAATGTAGATCAAAATTCAAAGTTGGTTGAAGTAGTTTTATGCAACCGGGAACTGACCTTTAATCCGGACTTTGAGCACTTGTCAGTTTCTGATACTCTCTGGACACTTTTATGTTAGTAACAAGAAAAGGTGGCGTGCAGAAAGAAGCCTCGTTCACATCTTGAGTACATTTTATAGATACTTTAATATTCCTCCTCGGCTTGCTTGCCCACTCTTCATCACTTCCGCCATGCTCTGTATGTGTGTATGTGTGTGTGTCCATCACATTGATTGAACATACTTTCTGTTTGAACTGATCAAAATCTCGACTAAGGCCATGACAACACACACACACACACACACTCAGATGAAAGTATACCTACTGTATACACTGAAACCCACACCCAGTAAGTATTTAAGAGTCTGAGTGGATGAATAGCAGTGTGGAGGGGTAGTGTATTGATAGATGAATAGTGAATGTAGATTTTCTGCCAGTGGAATGTCAATGCCATCATTTTGCAGCCTACAGTCTTGCTACCCCCAGACTTATGACAAATGCATGGAGAAAGGCAGAGGAGGGAGTTAGAGGGAAGAAGAAAACAGTGAATGAGAGAGACAACATTTTGTAGCTGGCAGGTGATGGATGGCCTGCAAACAGCTTGTCTTCCTCTGGACTCCATGATAACATGCCGTTCTCTATTTCTCTTTGCTCTTCCTGCCTCTCATCCATATCTTGCTCTCTGCTTCTATGTGTTGCCGACTCTTACCGTTACTCTCAGAGGACTGTTCTTTTCTTGCGTGCCTACTCAACTCCGAGACGCTTTTTAAACGGCTGTATTTTCTTTTGTTCTTATTTAATATGTTTTTGCCAAAAAATGTATTTTTGCTTCACTCTTAGGAAGCACCTGAAATCTAATTTATATCTCCTGTTTTTTGTCTTTCCCGCACTCTCTATCTTTGCTTTTGTCCCATTTCTTTTCATCTCATTCTCTCTGGCTGATGGACAGTTGGCAAGAAGAACCGAGGGTCAACAGGTAAAGAACCCATTTACATTTTCATTACCCTCCCTGCTCTTCCTCTGAGGCCCCTTCCTTTTCTCTCTATCTAAACACAGACAAATAATGCTACGACCTTTCACTCCCACAAGAAGGTCAGAGCTGAGGGTTGCTGGGCTAAATGCTTCGCTGCAAGTCACATCGGCAGCAGTTGTTGGTACATGCTGTAACAGATTTTACACCAGCGTTGTTGCACAGATTCTGTCTTGAGGCCAGTTAAAAAACATACAGTAGCAAACATCTAACCTCAAGGTCAGCCTGCATCAATCATAAATATTGTCGATCTGATATTTGTTAACATCCATTGCGACACATTTCTGGTTCAGTTTCCAACTTTTTTTTTTTCAACATAGCTTTCTAAAAGGGAAGCTTTGGTTCTGTTTTATTTAGTGTCAGTTTCTCCAGTTTTCACTTTTTCATGTAAATCGACACACTGGACTACATCAGACAAAACCTGAAGCTTGACATTAATCTATATTCAGTCACACAACTCATGTGGAATGTAATATTAAAGTCAATTAAAGAGTCAGATTCTCTTTAAAAAAACTAAGCAATATTTAGACCCACACAAAAATAAACCCCCCCTAATCATAATTTATGACCGACTAGAAGTGAGCAGGTGCGAGATCGTAAGCATGCAGCCAAGAGGAGGTTAAGAAAATATCAGACATATCATCGAAAAATTAAAAATATTGCAGAGGGATCAACTTTGAATATTGTGTTTACAAACGCAATGAACAAATTCCCCTGGTTACTTGTATATTTAGTGTCAAGGCTCTGACCTCATCGCTCCCACAAAGGAAACACTTAGGAGTGGAGTGGAGAGTGACGATAATACCTTTCTTACTTCAGGGAACATTAACTCAAAGCCACTACAGGTGGATGCTGCACTGAAGATGGAGCTTTTGAGATGCTATAAGAACAGAAGCAGCCGTGCTGGTGTCAGCATCAGGGGAACAGTAGGATGAGCAGTGCACTCACGGCACACCCACGGGTGCCTAGGATACTGCAGGGAGTCTATTGCCTGACTAAGACAGTGGGCCAAAGCACTTGCCATAAGAGTGTTTATCTCTGTGAAATGTAAACACTGAGTCACAGAGAATACAGTGTTACTTGCTATAATGTTCCTTCGTGGGCACATCTGTATAATTGAATTTGTGCAATTTTCACACATGGCCTTTTATCCATTTTAGCACACTAACCATGAGTAATTCCGATTTTAAAGTGACTTATTTTATACTGAAAGAGTGAATCCCCTGAACCACTGTCATTCTTTTCAGTGAGTTCTCCTATTTGTATCAAAAAGGTTTGCAGTCATGAAGCAATTGCACGTGCCCTAATTCCAGCAGAGTGATGATGAAATGTTTCC